TGTATACTCAAACTACTAGACCAGCTAGATGTCTGACTGGGTTTGCTAGCAATTGTGCATCAACTCTTTGTGGTAATAGTTGTGAAAGAAGCCGTTTACTCATGCTAACCTCCATATTGGAGCATGTTGTTTTTTTCCATTGGAGTTCATTAAGAAAATAAAAGAAAAAGTTTACTTGCTCTTTAAACATAGGATTATTTCTCCCTTAGCGCAATGAAGGTGAAGCTGATCATTATTGTTTGTGCTGGGAATTTTGTGTGATCATTAGGGTGGTTTTCCAGGTGACCTATTTAGGTATAATTGAATTTGCCCAGTGACTTTTAACAGTAAAGCCCTATCACCCTTGAGTTTATCTGCTAATGAGATTACACAAATGTCACTGTCTTTGCATCTAGTTGAAACTTAAACCACTGTCGATTAAACCAATTTACATGAATGCATGTTAAGGCAATAATAGATGTTAAATTCAGAAAACAGACTGTGTTCTTGTTACAGAAAAGCTAGATTATATACGTATATCTTATGTTGAGTGCCTTTCAACAGGTTCTTCTATATGCATATTGGGACATAGGTTTGTTGTATTAGGGAATAGTAAACCTATAACAATAGCATTAGGAGCTTAGGAATAAAAGGATATAGTGTATTCACTGCTGAGGTTTACTCTGATGTGTTAGTACTGTGTTTTTAATTCTCTTTTGACTTTTTTTGTTTTGTTTTGAAAGTAATTGGTGACGTTTGAGTGCAGTCAGTTTATTGCATTTGAACATTTTAGTTTTGAAAACCTCGTATTTCCCCCACCTCAACAGCAACATAAATTATAATGAAGCATTTCAAAGGGTTGTAACACTAATGTCACACTCCCAATGAGGTGGTTAACTTCAAGAGATCCCTCAGTTTGAGCTTACAAATGTAGTAATCACTATGCAATTGTTTTGCTTGCTTTAGATTTAGACCAAATAGGTACAGATAAACTACATAGGAATGTTACGCTACATACATCGAGATGCAGTCACACTGTTTATGTTCTTGTGTATATTTAATGCTACACCTTTTTTTTTTTGTAAATACGTTAGCTTGTTAAAAGTCTGTATATTGGCCAATATAACTTCTTGGATATTGTAAATATGTAAAATATATTCCTTTTGTTAGTCTGAAAACTTAAATACTTATTTTTTTATATGCTATAAATCAGTGCTGTCTCTCTCCTTTGTAAAAGAGATGGATGTCTTTTCAAGTTAATAAAGATGTACACAAGTCTGTGAAAGTAAATGTTTAAGTTTTCATTTGCATTAATGATTCTTGGCATTGTGGTTCATTAAAACAGCAAGATTAAAAATAAGCTCTTTCATTTTTATATTCTGCTTAGTCTAAAATGTGCTCCTTTGAGATAAAATTTGAGTTTTTTGTAAATATTTTTGATTAGAATGTCATTTTATTTTTACCAATTAGCGGTTGACCACATTCTATTGTTTAATACATAATGCAAAAAAATTTATGATGAAAAATTAGATGTTAATGAACATGCTTAAGTTTATTTAAGCATATTTTACTCTGTTCACTAAAATAATGTCAACAATTTGTTACTCCAACAAGGTTGTTAGAAGATATTGGAACTAAACTGGCAAAATGGACATTGTTATCAGTAAATTCTATCAATCTTAAAATATCCATATGGTCTCCATTATTGGCTTACGACGCTTTTGCGAAATGTAGCCCAGGTTGATACATCAATCAGTCACCACTAACAAGTGTCCAAAAACATAGAAGAAATGTTTCATTTGAGATTTGATCTAGACTTTTGACCATTAAAGAAGCAGTTAATTATCAACTCATGGTCTTTACTTTGCACACAGCTCCCAAGAGCAAATACGTATGTATTTCAAGGAGGGATCAGGGTTTAATATACAGCAGTTGACATGGGTGTAATCAAACCTCTTTCAGCTTTCTCAAGGTAAGAGAGATTTTTGCTCTGTGTTGTATGAGATGAGACCGAAATTGTGATTGAGTTCAGCATACAGACCAAATTGGTGCTGGGAAGCTAAGAATAATAATTTACGAGAGATCGGTAACTAATTTACTTTTTGTTTTGTTTTTTTTTCTATTAAAAAGAATCTAGTCCAAGCATAAGAAATGTCGGCAGTAAACAACCGTTCTTACTGGGCTTGGACAAAGAACTGCACCTACCCCAGTGATTTGGCCCTTCCTTTGGTTCCATACATGGATTGTCCCTCCAACCGCATGTACGGCTCCAACTTCATACCTCTTGTCTTTTACATACTTTCCATCCTTGGAATAATTGGAAACCTCTGGAGCCTGTGGGCTTGCCTGCGGCCGTCCCAGCCTTGGAGTATTGGGTCCATAGGCGTACTGAACCTGGCTCTATGTGACCTTGCTTATCTGGCTTCTATGGGACCCTGGGCTGTCTACATTAGTGCCGACTACCACTGGAAAATTGGCCATTCGCTCTGCGTTGTGGTGAAAATCCTATACTTCGGTGGGTTGGTGTCTAGTACCATGTTCATTTGCGCCATCAGCACTGACCGTTTCTTTGCAATCGTCTTCCCTCTGGAGTCCCGGATGATCCGGACCCCTCGGAACAGTGCACTGGTTTCGCTTCTACTCTGGGCCATCACCGCCCTCTTCATCTACTTCAGTTATCCTAACATTCTCTATTGGGTCAGGAAGGATGGCATCCATGTGTGTGGAGCGGTGGTGATCTCCAGGTTCAGGACCACTGAAGCAACCTACAATCATCTGTCCTATTACTCCATTCAGGTTTCTGTCCCACTGCTCCTCATCATTCCCTCCTATGTGAAGATCATTTCCCGGATGAAGCAGTCACGGCAACAGTGGGGCCCAGGCAACATGCAAGGCCTGGACAAGACCATCTGGCTGATTGCCGTTTTCATTGCCAACTTCCTGGTGTGTTGGGTGCCTGGGCAGCTGCTTCACATCATCGCCTGTATAATTTTCTTCAGTTTGGATCACTGCAAAAATGCTTGCTGGGTTGCATGGGTGGTCAATCTGCTCTCTGAATCCTCCCAAATACTCTACTGCCTCAATGCATGTCTTGATCCTTTAATTTTCCACATGCAGCAGGGACACGGTGAACTGTCTCCTATGGTTGCATTGGCAAACTGGGCTAGAAAGTTCTTGCAGGTAGGTAAGACACGAGATTTGGGAGGGCCTTCAGTGGAACCTGCCAGTGTCATCCAACTTCATGGTGGTTCAAAAGACAGAATTGGAAAAACTCAAAATGATAAGAACATGAAAAAGTGAGATTTTAAAAGACCACCCATACATGTTTAGTTGCTCAATTGTAAGTTGATGCATTTAATGTTTTCAAGTTGTTGTGCTTTCAAGCTGCTTGTGTTGTTTGGCAAGAGCTTTATTTAGTATTGGGAGTAAGTCTGATATCCTGTAATGTAGCTATTAACTTATGATTTTTTTTCGTACTGATGTAGTTTATTAATAAAAGGTGTATGAATGCTTTGTGACAAGGCAAGAAAATCTTGTGTCTGTATGTCTGACTCACTGTTTCCTCTAAAATGAGTTCTATCTAAATATAAATCGCTCTAAAAGTGGCCATATAGTACAAGTCAGATGAGTTTACCATTACATTACATTTAAGCGTTTAGCAGATGCTAAAACTAATAAAAGACGAACAAATCAATTCATGAAAGAGCCAACAATTGTAGGACACATTACCAGGTTCATTAGACAACTAGGTTAGGAAACGAGCTAGAGAAGAGAAGGAATGCACTGTACAGTAAGTGCACTGGTTTACTGTTGAATGAGGGGGAGTA